CTTGTCTGGCTTGCATCCATTTCCCCCACTGCAGAGACGTATACATATATAAATATGTATGTATGTACATACATAGATTTGTACATATGAACGATAGTACATATCTGAACCTCTGCACCAAGCAATGGTAATGGCATTAAATTGCAGGTGCACAGTAGCCGAAGTACCTGTTTTGCTGGCCAAAAAAGGCGAAGAATTGCCAGGAATAGATTTTTTGTCAAACAATATTGCAATGCAGTCATACCCACATACATATGTACATATATGGGACATTCTTTGCCAAGCGGGCTATCCCATCTCTGCGTTTTTCGTTTGATTCGAAACCTTTTGGAAAAATTATTCAAAGGATTTATTTTTAAATTCCGTTTGGTTTTTTAAAAATTCAAGATGGCGGATTAAATATGGCGTCTAAACTTACTATAAAATTATATTTTTCTGTACGACTTTTGTGTGTCTGGAGTTGGGTTCTCTAAAAAGGAAAAACTTGCTGCCGTTGTTTATGTTTTAGGATTTCTGATAACGAAAAAATTCAAAATGACGGATCCAAATAGCGGTCAAAAAAATTAAAATGAATCCGATTCACTTGGAACGTTTTCCTCAGGGAGTTTTTGTGGTTGTTGATTATTAATCTGAAGTCGGGGGAACTTAAAATCAAAATGGCGGATCCATATTGTATCTACCATATATCGGCGTATGAGATACACAGACAAGACGAGAATATTACACATACGCCATGTGCGTACTTTCGATTTTAACTTTCCGTAATAAATGGTAGATTCAATATGGATCCGCCGTTTTGAATTTTTAAAATCTGATTTCAAATTCGTAGTCAGCGGCCTCCAGTATCACCGTTTGTAAAGTTTTAAGCGAATCTAATCGATTCGAATTTTTCTAATCTGACTACAGATTCTTAATCAACAACTACAATAACCCCCGAGGAAAATGTTTCAAAATGTTTTGACTTAAAATCAGAACACCGATTCGTAATCAAAAACTCTAAAAACATAAAAAGGCGCTGTTAGTTTTTCTTTCTTAGTGTTAGGTTCTCTAGAGAGACAAAAGTTGTAAAGCAAAATCTAATTTCTAGTTCGTTTAGACGCCATATTTAAACCGCCATCTTGAATTTTTAAAAACGCCCAAAGACATTTAAAAATAGACCCTTTAAACTATTTTTTCCAAAAGGTTTCGAATTCTATAAAGCAAAACAAAAATGGAGAGCTGCGGTGGCCCGCTTGGCAGAGAATGTCCCATGTATACATATATGTACATCGTGAATGTCTGTTCTGCTTTACTGCATACTACAGTTCTAGGAATCCTTAAGTACTTACACGAGTGTTCATATTAATGCAGTGTGTAAGCAATTGTACAAAATCATAGCATACAAAGTAACACGGATTCCTTTCCTTATTGCTTCGCGCCATTTCTCTTTCTGACCTACATATGCATTGCCAAAGCTCTTACGCTATATTATTATTCAGTTTATTCAGGTGCATACGTACGTAAGTGCATGTATGTGTGTGAAACATTTGTAATTTTGTTACTAGGTAAAGGATGCTTTGTTTAATTATATATGTAGCCAGCCTGGATCTGTGATCGATAACTTAGATATGTATATGCATATGTACGTTGTACTGGGTAGCGAAAAAGGTTTGCAATTGCCGCTTCCCAGTTTGAAAGCTTACCTTGAGAGGATTTTACAGTAATAAAAATTTACCTACGCCTTTGGCGAGTCCTAAAAATAGCAAAAATCGAAATATCTTCCTTACTTTTTTATTTCCTGTAATTGAGTAGTCCACTTGCAAACAGCGTTATGTGATTTATAATAGAAAGCCATACATTTGAAAAAAAACGACTACGACAACAAGTAACAATTAAATGGAATCTTTTTTATTATCACCTGAAAATTTGAATAAATAAGAGATTATAAAATTATAACATAACATAACATGAAATAAGATAAGATTAACAGTCTGTACGACCTAAAGCAGTTTTCTAAGTTCATCAGAAGATGGATACTTTTGAAAGTTTATAAATAAGTATGATAGCGACTTTTGGAAGAAGAGTTAACTTTTGATGCTATTTTTTCAGAATTTAAAAAGAGTTTGCACTGTGTTGTTAGTGGACACGAAACTACTTTAAATACTGGTACGTAATCCACCAAAAACTAAAAATCGAAAAAATTTTACATAGCGCACTTTGCAAGTGGGCTACTCAATTAAGGTAACGATATGTAGTTATGTATGTATGAGCATATGAACTGCAACAGTGCCAAAAAATAGCGAATTGTCCTAACGTTATGCATTCGAAAGCAAACACTTGAATATGAATATAGATAGATAGATAGATATGTAGTTGATGAAAATCACTGCGACCAGTAGGTCTATTGTATCCTTAGCTCATCACAACGCCTCAACGAGCTCTAGAGACTCTACGAATTTCAGAGTAGATCTCGCGGCACATAAACGACACAGGTCACTACTTCTATATTGGCAGTAAGCTAACTTCTCAATGTGTAAGCATTCCGAAATCAAAGTGAGACAGTCTAGTACCATAGTTGTGAATGTATTGTGTACGTGAGTGCCGGTTTTGTGTATGTGTTGTGTACATGTTTACTTATAAACGTATGTCTTCCTTTTCTTTCGTACGTGTTTATTGATATATCTGTACTGTAATGTTTTCGGACGGTACTAGCTCTTACTGCCAATATAGGAATATTATATACATATATGACTAGACCAGATTCCTAAACTATACAAGTGACCTCTTAGCCTGCAATGCATTGGCCGGTTCTTGGTTCCTCCTTAGGGAGACCCATGAATAGCCTATATCTTTTAAGATTGTACCCTCCCATTAAGCTTTTAGACTGATCTAGACCCATGGTGATACACCAGTGCAGTTCCTCTAGTTTTGTATTCTCCTTCCTGAGCACTTCCTTTATGGTGTTGGGAGCCACTGCAAGGAAGGGCTCAGGTCCTATCGGATCTGGCCAACTGATCCGCCTCCTCATTTTCCTCGACTCCCATGTGCTCTGCTACCCATAACACTTGGATATCGTTATAGACGTAAACATTAGGTCGTCGGGAGAGCTTTTTGGTTTTCCGACATTACGCAAAGGAACTAAATTTTGTGTTCCTCACAGGAAAACGCGCTCGGAGTTTTTCTCAATATGGAGGATCCTTTTTACAATGTCTATCCGAAGTCTTATTAACTCCCTCCTTATGATGGAGGTGCAAATGGGTCTGATGAACTTTTTTGGGCTTAAGCCGAATTTATAAAAGATGGTATCAATATACCAGACACAAAAACTACAATAACAAATTATACACACAATGGCAACGAGAATCGCCACAAATGTACAACAAACACATCATTTTGACATTTAGAAGTATCGCGGCGAAAATGTTATTTTTCTGCCAACATCACCTTGTATGAATTCGCCTTGGCTGAGCTCCTTCTCGAAAAGATAATTAGTCTATCAGAACTGGGGTACGGCTCCATTAAAAAGTATGTGACCAGAGGCTCTCCCCAAAGAGGCGTTCTCTCCCTCTACTCTGGAGTCTAACCGCTGATGCCCTACTTCTAAGCCTAAAGAGCACCGGTTTTCAAGTCATTGCGTACGATGATGACATAGCAATTGTAGCACCGGGCAAACATATGCAGGTTCTGAGTGTGATATTGCAAAATGAACTCAGTCTTTAAACATTTGGTACAAGGAATGTAGACTTAGCGTCAATCCTACAAGTCCGAAATGGTATTATTCACAAGGAAATAAAGCTCCTGTATTCAAACGGGCCACCCTAAATGGGGTGGCACTTACTCTCACAACTGAGGTTAAATACCTTGTAGTTATTCTAGGGAAGAAACTTGACTGGAAACGAAAAATCTAAGTCTAAGACAGCTATAGGCAAAGAAGAGATATAAAACCCCATCCTTTTCTATGCGGTCACCGTATGGTTGACCCGATCTAAGGTGGAACGAGTGCAGAGGACGGCTGTCATGCTCGTCACAGGAGCACTGCCCACTACACCCACCAAATCCCTACAAATAATGTAAAATTTTCCACCTGTGGATCTCTACGGCGAATTTCAGGCCGGCTGCAGTGCGGCCAGGTTAAATACGATCTAGCCATGGAGCGACCTTAGATTCAGACACGCAAAAGTACTGGATTATCGTCTCTCTACCGGAACAACGTCAAAAGTAGCCATAGAATGCAGGAAGGAAATTCAATTATTAAGTGGTTCGGGTAGTTGTGAACTTTTACAGCGTTAGCACAATAGATCTTTCGAGATTTGATGCAATACATTGTATAAATCTGACCACTGATGAATATGTAGGATCTGAAACCACTCTAATAAGACGCAATCGGTTTACTCAAAAATTGCTTAATTTTTTTCGGAATGAACATCTTATGGGCTTTATTCGTAATAATAAGAAAGCTTATCCTTAATGGACAGAGTTCACCATCCAAATTGCGCTTAGCAGTTGGTTCATGTACCCGATCACCTCTTTTGTTAAGATACTCTATTGTTCCTCCCACTCTCTCAGACGAGTGCAACAAGTCGTCATATTGGAAGTCGAAATTCGTAAAGTAGCTCAAAATGCATTTAATTTTAAATCCAACAGCAGTTTTTCGGGATTGAGATAGTTTGCAATACTATACGAGAGGTGGATATCCGGATATATCCGGTTAATATCCATTCATTTTATAATAGGGATATACGGTTCATATGCATTCACTTTGGTTATCCGGATATCCGCATATTCTAAGCAGTTTTTGGGGGGATCCGTAAAATTTTATTTGAAATTTCTGAATCTATTGAGTTACAAAATAAATAATAGAGCACTTCATTAATACGCAAACAATTTCGACTTTGTTGCTAATTTTTAAATTCGAATATACGGATATCTGGATTATGCGAATAAAACTCCCAGCCCTACTATTTATATATGTATCTCTGGCCCTATGTAGTTTTCTTATGCACGTTATGTTTTCCTTGCAGCTGACTCAGATGCTGAAACAGACGAAGATGAAGGCCACATTGAAGACGCAGAGAAGTGTCAAAATCGAGAACGTGATAAACATGATGAGAACGATGAGCAAAGCAATAAAGATGCACAGGACAGTGATGAGGATGTGTCTGTATCATTACTGCGAGCCAAAAATCTATCCTTGCTGCAAAGCCAGTGAGACGACCTAATACAATTTTTTTGTTTAAAGTTTAGTACATTCAACCTTCTACTTTCAGAGAAATTTCTACGAGCCAGCAGAACTTCTTTCGCATGCTCGACAGAAAGATTGAAGAGGTGAGAAAATATTTGCCCCTTCGTTTGACTGAAAGCCCCTAAGCCCGTTCTTTGTTTTTGTAGGGACCCGATTACGATTCATCGAGTGAGACGGAGATCGCACTTGAAGAGGCCAGGCTGAACGCTTTAGTGCAACACTGGGAGTCAGCGAGTCTGACTGCCTCTATTTGCTCCTCCGCCAGCCGCTCGTTGCAAACGACACCGATTCGCCAAGCACCAGTAAAACAACTGGCAACGACCAGAACCGTGATGCAGCCCACGGTCGCTGTACCGGTACCGATGCCGATGCCAGTGCAGCAACCAGTGCTGGCCACAGACTTTCTAACACACGGCGCGTCACCAACGGCGGCTCAGTTGTCGGCGGCAGCGGTAGCGGCCGGCG